CATTCCAGGGATGCAGTGATGGTTCAAAATACAAAAATCAGTAAGTATAATATACCACATAAACAGAAGCAAAGACAAAAATCACATGATAATCTCAATAGATGCATAAAAAGCATTTGACAAAATCCAACATCCATTCATGATGTTTTCAAAAATCTGAAGAAAATAGGAATAGAAGGTCTTTATCTCAATCTGGTAAAATCCATCTATTTAACATTAACTATCTACATTATACTAAATGGAGAGAAGCTGAAATCACTCCCTGTAAAATCAGGAAAAAGACAGGGATACCTACTATCACCACTACTGTTTAACATAATGCTCAAAACATTAGCCAGAGACCAGAGAAAAATGAAAGGGACATGGATAAGAAAGGAAAAATTTTAATTATCATTATTTGCAGACAATAGATCTTGTAGATAAAGACCCTAAAATCTCCACCAAAAGACTTCTAGAATTAATAACCAAATTCAGTAGCATAGCAGGATACAAAGTCAGCACTCAAAAATCAACAGCATTTCTGTCCACCATTAACAAACTCACCGAAAGAAGTAAAGGGAAATGACACCTTTCACAGCAGCATCAAGAAAAATGAAATACTTAGGAATTAACCTAACCAAGGAAGTGAAAGACCTCTGCAATGAAAACAAAGGACTCTGAAAAAGGAGATTGAAGAGGATAACAGAAAATGAATAATCTCTTGTTTCTGAATCGATATAGTCAAAAATAGCCATACTTTGAAAAGTATTATACATATGTAGCGCAATCCCAATCAAAATACCCATAGCATTCCTTACAGAACTACAGAAAACAATCTAAAATTCATGAGGAACCAGAAGAGATCTAGAACAGCAAAAGGACAAGGCAGAGGCCACCATGATCTCAGATTATAAAAATAGCATGGCATTCTCAAAAAGAAGAAAAAGCTAGACTTGTACATCAGTGGAACAGAATAAAGGATGCAGAAACAATTTCAAGCATACTCAGTTACCATATCTTTGATAAATGGGTCAAATCCTTTCACTGGAGAAAAAGATAGCTTGTTTTTTTGTTATTGTTGTTTTGTTTTGTTTCTAGTGGGAAGATACCGGGGATCAAACTCAGGACTTTGCGCTTGTGAGGCAAGTAGCAGAACCACTGAGCTAAATCCTTGGCCCCAAAAAGGTAGCTTCTGTAACAAATGGCACTAGGAAACCTGGCTATCCATATGCCAAAGATTGAACCCATATTTCTCATCATGCACTAAGCTAAGATCAAAATGGATAAAAGAACATTAGAAGAGAAACAGGTAATCCTCTAGAGGACAAAATAGGTAAAACATTTGAAGACATAGGTATAGATAAAGACTTTCTGAACAAGTTACCCAAGATATAATACCAAGAATCAACAGATGAGATCACATCAAATTAAAAAGCTTCTGAACAGCAAAGGAAACCACCAACAGAGTGAAGAGACAATCTAGAGAACAGGGAAAAACTTTTGTCAGCTACCCTTCAGACAAAGGATTAACATCTAGAATATATTAAGAATTCAAAAAATGAGACCCTCCAAATTAAATAATCCAATAAAAATGAGCATCTGAAGAGAATAGACACTTCTCAGATGAAGAAGTGGCAAAAAAATACATAAAACAATGTTCAACATCATTGTTCATTTAAGAAATAGAAATGCAATCTAAAACAACACTGAGATTCCATCTCACTCCACAAAAAATGACTATCATCAAAAAAAATCAACCAATAAATGCTGGTGAGGCTGTGGGGAAAAAGGAATCCTTCATTGTTGGTTAGGGTGTGGACTGATGAAACCACCATGTAAATCAGTATGGAGATGCCTCAGAAAACTAAAATAGAAATTCCACTTGATCCAGCTATTCTCCTTCTAAGTATCTTCCCAAAAGAGTTAAAGACATCATAGCACAGTGATATATGCACACCCATGTGTCTAGTAGCACACTTCATAATAAACTCTTGGAAGCAGCCTATATATCTATCAAAAGAAGAAGAAACTGTGGTATTTATACATGATGAAGTACTACTCTACCATAAAGAAGGAAAAACTTGAGTCACTTGTAAGAAAATAGATACACTTTGAAACTGTAAGGTTAAGTGAAGTGAATCAAACACAAAAGCTTAAATGTTGCATGGTTTCTTTTATATTAGAAGTTCAATATATAAAAGTACAGTGTAGGTGCAGGGAAAGAGGGAAGGGTAGGGGAAAGGTAATAAAGGAAAGAAAAAAAAGAAAATGAAAAAATGGAAATAAAATGTTTGTAAATGGGGAGGGGAGGGGGGTGAAGGGAGGGCAGGGACAAGGAGAAAAAATGAGAACCAAGATCTGTCATGTAAAGATACAAGACCCCAATAATGAATGTAACTGTACTATATACCTAAAATGCACCAATAAACTCAATAAAGAAAAAAAAAGTACAGTATAAAAGATAATAGAAAGGGAAAAAAGTTGTAATCCAGCATTGCCAATGTATCTAAAAATGTACCTTGATTTAGTATACTTATCTTGTGTATTTGTTTTTAGACCTTTAATCTAGCTACTCATCTGTACATATGATAACTTTATAAGGACTTATAAGATAAATAAATGAATCTGATGCTAGCAAAAACAGAGGTGGAAAAAAAAAAGAACTGAGATGTGTTATGTACATGTACCAATTTCCCCATTATTAAATATCAACTGACAGTATGAATCCTTGACAGTGTCCCTTCTCTTCTCTTTATGAACCCTAAACACAAGGCATCCTGAATTATTTGGAAAAAGTCCCAACTGCATGGTTTTTGTTTCAAGCCTTGGCTAGCTCTGCTTTGTGCTTAATCAACACCTGACTTGGCACTTATTACTATTGTTTGCTCGTCTTTAAAACTCATGGCCGGTATCATTCCTGTTGTGATGTAAGAATTGCCAACTCCCCACAAGGTAGTATTTGAGTGTCTCCTCCAACTACCCTCACTGCAGCTGTATTTCAATCAGTTGATCTACCTATCAATACCCTATTTCAATTCAAATTTTGTTCAGAAGTTGTGCCAGTTTGTTGTTTTTGTCTGTGAGCCCGCTCGCAGAACAAGGTTCAGGGGCCTGGACTGAGAGGGCAAGGCAAGGAATCACCATGCAGACTCTGGGGAGGTTTCTGAAATGCTTCCGTTTTAGTGAGGAACTGTACAGACTTATATAGGATAAGGCAGGGGTGGAACCAGGGTGGAGTCGGGATATTTGGCACATCGTTATCCGCCACATGTTAGTTTTTGGATTGTGTGCTTTAGGGACTGAGGTGAATAGAGTCAGGACTGTAGAGGTATTTGAGAGGAACAGTTTATCTGTCTAAGGTCAGATCTCTACACACCCGAGGGGGTGGATTATTCCAGCCCTAATAGGCCTCAGAGTTTTCTCATGAGAGATGGGTGCAGTGCTCCTGACTCAGCCAGACATTAACCTGATCCTTAGTTCCCCCTTTTGTCTTTGACTCTAGAGCCTCAGCCAAAAGGACCACATTTTTATGATTTTGTTACTGGCACGTCTGATCTTTAAAATAAAGAACAATAACAATATGCCAAACAAGGTTAATATATATGGGGATCCCAGTATCAATCCACGCACCCAACTACTCAAAATATTCCATCCAGCCTGAATTTTTTGACCAAATGGTATCCCACACATTATTTAAAGTTACATCTAATGCCTGGGTATTAATTCCTCCCAAAGCAATTTAATTGGATTTGTAAATTGAATACGGCTCTGCAGACATCTTGAAATAGCAGGGCGGTCTTTTTGAAGGTTCGGGTAATGTTTTTTGTTAGCTGCTTGAACATTGCTGCTGAAACCACTTGATTTTGTGACATGACTGTTGCCATTGTTGTGGTGGAAATAGCTGCCACCATGGAAACAATGACAGCAATAAGGGTGGAAATTTCAAAATCTTACAGTGGGGATGAAGCATAAGATTAAAGAGAGGATCTGAATTTTGTCATTCCATATGGAGATAAACAGGGACCCAAATGCCCGGAGTGTTCTAGCAAAATATAAACTCCAAGTTTCTGTATGATTAAACAAAGAAGGATCAATAAAAGGGGTAAAATGAACATGAAAGGGGAAGGCAGAACAAGACAGTTACAGGGGCGTCAGGTACTTGAGGATTTGTCCAGGATGAAGTAGAGATCAAAGGCTCTGCAGCGCCCCCCTAAGGACTGCTCAGGACCAGCAGCCACAGGCTGAGGAGCAGCCAGCCCCCTCCACCCCCCTCCCCTGCACGCTGGGGACTGCAAAGCCCCCATCCCACCCGCCTCAACCCGCACTCGCAGCCCTCTCCTCCCCACTGGGCCCTAACGCACCCAGGGGAGCCGCCTCGAGCAGCCAGAGCATCGGGATCCTTGGCGGAAGCCAAAAGGACCTTTGGCCACCGCGTAGCTTTCAGACTCGGCCAACGACCAGGCTCCCTTCCCGGCTCAGCAGGCCCGGGCACCTTGAAGCCGTAGGTCTTCCACTCTGAAACTTTTTTGGAGCTCTCAGCTGTGCTTGGCTGGGCTTTGAAGGTGGAGGTTGAGCAGCCTGGAGGCCGAGGACCCCGAAGCCACGCTAAGGCCAGATCAAAGGATTGTTTCGCCTCATCCGACAAGGTGGCGGCACACAGGGTGGAGGCCACCATCCTGGACTGGAAAAGGTAGACTCTTCCGGATGACCATTATTCCAGTGACAAGGGGGTTTTAGCGGGGGCACTTCATCCACAGAAAGTGAGAGAACAGTGGGCGGGCTGACGCCTTTGGGGAAGAAAAAAGCTGAAGAGACAGCGCCCCCACCCCGCCATCTTAAGAGGCTTTTGTCCGCCATCTTTAGAGCCCTCAGGAGGCCCTACGCTCGCCTGAGTTTGGGCTGGAAATGCCTCGGACACCTTTATGGCACGAAGACCCTTTACTAAGGCGGCCTTTACCAGCCGTTCTTGACTCTTGACATTAGCCATAATGGGGAACCTTACCCTAAATTTCAATATTTACCTAGTATATGCGAGTTCCTGCTCAGGCACCAATTGTTGTTTTTGTCCACGAGACCGCTCACGGAACAAGGTTCAGGGGCCTGGACTGGGGCTGGGGCTGGGATAGGACAGGATGGCGAGGAAACACCGGCAGACTCCGGGGAGGTTTCGGGAACGATTCCGTTTTAGTGAGGAAGTGAACAGACTTATATAGGGTAAGGCAGGGGTGGAGCCAGGTTGGCGCTGTTGGATCGCTATTGGATAGGGTAAGGCAAGGGGTGGAACCAGAGTGGAGTCAGGATATTTGGCTCATCCTTATTGGCCACTTGTTAGTTTTGGGCTTGTATGCTTTAGGGGCTGAGGCAAATGGAGTCAGGATTTTAGAGGTTTTTGAGAGGAACAGTTTATCTGTCTAAAGTCAGATCTCTACACACCCGAGGGGGCGGATTATTCCAGCCCTAACTCTCGGAGTTTTCTCACAAGAGATGGGTGCAGCGCTCCTGACTCAGCCAGACATTAACCTGATCCTCACCGGTTACTTAAATTTTCCCTACCCTTCTAAACTCCTGTCGGTAATGATGGGGCTGGGGACTCAGCCAACTATATTTCCCAGATCCTATTGTCACTGTATCCGTGAGAATTCTATCGAAAAGGGGATTAGGAGGGGACCAGAAGGCAGAATGACGGAGATGCCACTGGATACTTTCTGTTTTCTGTTTCTTCATGGAGCAGGAATGGGTTCCAGTATCAAATTTTGCCCAGCATTTTTTTTTTTTTAGTTTCTAGACTCTGGTTACCCTAACCTCTCCCTTTTGTTCCCCACCTAGGCTCTTTCCTGCAGTCACTTTCTCTTTAGGATACCTCTGCTTCCCTTCTGTGTGTTTTCAGCCTTCTAACACCCATGCAGCCTATTTCCTATATTAACCTCACCAGCACCTCCACCAAGAAAAAAAAAGTGTAATAACCTCTTCTTGACTGAATCTTTAAAGATACATATATCTATTTCCTTCTAATAATCATCAAAATGCTCCCTAAGGATAAAGTATATTTCTGACTCATTTCTGTGTCTTCAAATCCTAGGGACAGAATCTGGCCCAAAGAAATATGTTAGTGCTGAATAAATACATTAATGGTCAGTCCAGGGAGTAGTCTGTGAGGAGTTCAACCAAAGCAATGGCAATGAACATGAGGTAGAAATCATGACCATAAAGTCAATGAAAAACCAATCTTCATTTTAAGATCCAAAACAATGTCATGGGAGGTTGGACATTCTCTTGTCTCAATTCAGAGGAATGCCATTATTTCCAAATAATAAGGCAATAAAAATTCTGTGGGTCCAAAAATGCTCATTCCCCAAACTTTAATGATTAACTCATTGTTATGCAACCAAATTTCACTAAAAATAGAAAGAACCTAACTAGTGTCCCAGAATTTGTTAGGATAAAATCTAAACTACAGTAATGGAAAGAAAAGAAAACAATCTACAGGAAAGCGAACCAGTAGAAAATGGGTATATTATTGCTTTGACTTTTACCCTGGTAAGAGGGAAAGACATGCAAAAAAATACAAGCTGTTAAAAAGTTCGAATCATTTATATAATTCATTGACGATCCAGGGTTCATCAACAGAAGTTAATTGGGAAATCTTGGTAGGTATTCCTCCTCTTGTAATTACTCTGGTCAAAGAGTTCCCCAAGAAATCCTGTCTACAAGCCTCACAGCTATTGCTCTGTTTCCTGTTTCTATTTAATCTGTCTTCTATTTGTGGGTTAGCTGGCAGTGATAGTACACATCACACACCCCTATATCATTACCCCAGTTTCTATTCTTGTTCATTCTTTGTCAAGTAAAAGGTAAGACTGACTCTTCCAGATATTTCCATGAAGCCTGAGAAAACCACAGAAAATAAAAGACAGTAACTTTAAGTTTGTAAAATATCTAGTTTATTTCTCATCATATAACAGATGATGATTAAAAGGTAATTGGTGTGGTTGCTCTTGCTACTGTGCTTAGTCATTGTTTCAGGGCTCACAGTATAATTTATCACAGTCTAGCTTCAAATGACATTACATCACTTCATGTATAGTTTGAAACCTTACAGTAAGTAGTATGCTTTTACTTCTCTCTTCCTTGATCATTTTTCTATGTTACTCATACGTCTTACTTCTGCTGGTATCATAAACCCCCAAACATATTATTTTTTGCTTTAAATGGTTATCTCCTACAAATATGTAAATATATTTATTCACATAGTTATTTGCATCCTTCCTTCCTACAGATCAAATTTCCAATTACTATTATTTTCCTTCTACATGAAGGATTTCCATAAGCATTTCTTATAGTACACTTCTGCTAGTGATAAATCCTTCTAAGATTTATGCAACTTTGAAGTTCTTATTTCACTACTATATTTATTAATATTGTACTGGGCATAGAATTCAGATAGATTGCCATAATCTACTTGGGCTCCTCCCTACCCTGCATCAAAATCTCCCAAGGAAAAGCTGAGGCATTGAGAGACTCACCTCTTAGTTTCTCATCTCAGAAATTGTTGCTCCTCACTGTCTATGTCAAACTCTTAAAAACTGTTCCATTTTTTCTAGCTTTACATTTTTTTAGGGTGGGAAGTTAAACCTGCTCCTTCGAAATCCTGACTTTTTTAAGACATGGGAAAAATATGCGAGTCAAATGCCATCCAAAATGACCATTCATTTATTTTTTATTAATAAATGGCCTAGGGAAAATAAGTAGAGAAATAAAAATTAGAAATTATGTTGATTCTTTAACAAAGGAAAACCTTAGGAAATCACTTATTCCCTATTTGTTTAATTGACTACAGTGGTTCCCAGTGGATTATTTCTCTATCTATTGAAGACCAAGTGGAAGATAAAGTCAAAGAGGAGGAGGAGAAAAAGAAGTAGAGATATACTCAGTACCCGGATGTGATCACAAGACAAGCCAGAAGTGGTGGTGCCAGATGTAATGAATAATGTGGATGAGGATACATTGTAATTTTTTATTTCAAAGAAATTCCTGTAAATATTTCATCAAAGAGGGATGACATACAGATAGGTGAGGCATATAAGACTCCAACTAGTCATGATCAAAAAAATCTACACCTAGACATATGATAATCAAGATCCCAGAAACCCAACAGAAGAACAAAATACTACAAGCAGTTAGAGAAAAGAAACACATCACATGCAAAGGGAAGTCCATCAGAATCACAATAAACTTTTCAACACAAGCCAAGGAGAGCCTGGAGTGAGGCATTTCAAGCCTTAAAAGAAAACAACCTCCAACCTAGACTGATGTATTCTGCAAAACTATCTTTCAAAATTGAAGGGGAAATAAGATACTTCCATGACAAAGAACACCTGAGGAATTTCATGAATACCAAACCAGCTCTCCAAACAATGCTAAACAATATCCTAGAAAAAGACAACTAAGGTCACAACTCCATGAGGCCCAACAGAGCAAATCCATCAGGCAACAAAAGAAATTATAGGGAGACAGGGAAAAATTAAAAAGAACGAACAACAGGAAAATAACACGATAATGATGTCAATACTTATCAGTTATAATCAATAATGTAAATGGCCTCAATTCACCAATCAAAAGAATCAGACTAACAAAATGGATTAAGAAGCAAAATCCAAAAGGTACAAGATCCCAGTAATGAATGTAGCTGTACTGTCTACCTAGAATGTACCAATAAAAAAAGAAGCAAAATCCAACAATGTTCTGTACACAAGAAACGCAACTAGTTCAAAAAGAAATTCATAGACTAAAAGTAAAAGGATGGAAAACAGTTATCCATGCAACAGGAACCTGGAAAAAAGCAGGGGTAGCTATCTTATTTGGAGACAAAGTAAATTTCAAACCAAAACTAATTAAGAGAGACAAAGAAGAGTACTGCATCCTTGTAAAAGGAACAACCCAAGAAGAAGAGAAGACAATTACTAACATCCCCAACTATACAAAACAAATATTAAAGGACGTGAAACACCAATTCAGCACTAATACAACTGTAGTGGGGGACCTCAATACCCCACTGTCACAAATAGATAATCCAGATTAAAAAAAATCAACAATGAACTGAACAATCAACAATTAGAACTGAACCAAGCTTTTGAACAAATGGACTTAATTAGACATCTACAGAGTGTTCCACCCCACAAATTCAGAATATACATTCTTTTTGGCTGCACACGGTTGGATTCTCCATGCAGGGGATGCACATTGAGGTCTTACTCTTAAGTGAATTAATAGGACACACGTGTAAATACCGAATAATTTCTCTGGTGTAAAAATCCAAAAGTATAAATGAGGATCAAAATATATAATTGATACAGTGTAAAAAGAAGAAAAATTATAAAGGAGTGGGGGACGTGGGAGAGGTAGGGGAAAGGTAAAAAGGGAAAAAAATATGAGAAAAGGAAAAACATGGAAATGAAGTCTTTGTAAATAGGGTGGAGGGGGTGAAGAGAGGGCATGGGAATGGGGAAAAATAAGAACCAAGATATGTTACATAAAGATACAAGATCCCAATGATTAATGTAACTCTATTATATACTAAACTGTACCAATAAACATAGTGGGGGAAAAAAGAAGTAGAGATATATCTTAAATGTATAATTAATATAATTTTATACATATAACTAAGAGGCCAAAATTACATTCCTGCCATATAATTCCATATGTGTGCCTGTCTCCTCAGCAAAACTGATATAGAACTATACAATTCTGTATTTTTAGTACACTAGATAAATTCGCTTCTTTCAAATATAGGACCTAATTGAATTATCCAATTTGCAAAATTTGTAAAACATAACATAGAATCTTTCCATATAATTTAGGGTGATGGAATTTAGGAAAAATTTTGATTCAAAAGTGTGAATGATCTTCAAATGCAGACCAATATGTTGCATCTGTTTGATATAATGATTTCAAGTTTGATTAAATATCAGTACTAATTTTCCTGTGAAATAAATATTTTTCTTTAACTATGGAGTTACAATATACCCCAAATATTTTTAATTTTTCCCAGCAAAACAAAAAATATCAACAGTCAGATTAAAAACTACTAACCATCGATAATATGTTGATTTAATGAGAAAATATCATAACATACTTATGTTTCTTGATGAATAATAAAACAATATTTTATGTATTGGTTGAAAAGAAAAAAACAGCTATCCAATGTTGTT